CCAATGTGTGCTGAAGCCTCAGGGTCATGGGCAGTCCAGGGAAACTCATAAATATTTATTGGAAATGACGGCAAGGTGGCACTATATGTGCTGGAATTGCAAGGAGGAAGTGACTTATTCCTGGTAGGATGTCACACGAATAATTAATATTTTAGTTACAGAGCCTTTGTAACATAACAGCTAGTTGAAAGACTTCTATTAAAGTTTGGTTAGACAGCAAAGCATGGTGGTATACACCTTTAATCCCAGTACTAAGGAGGCAGGGACAGGCAGATCTCATTTCAAGGCCAGCATGGTCTATGGAGTGTGCCCCAAGACATCAAGGACTATACAGAGAAACCCTGTCTCAAAAGCGAGACAAAACAATTAAAAGAGTAGGTAGAAACACACTTTATTGTACCTAAATTATGCTCAAGTAGAATTATCGTATTTGCATGGCTTGAAAGAATTTAAGTAATTTCATTTTTATTATTGAAACAAGCCTGAAGGTGGAAAAACACAGGGTATTGATAGTTTTCTGTCTTGGTAAAGAAAATCAACCTTCTTTGTGATTTTGCATAAAAATCGATGCACCTGTTATAATTAGTTTTTCAAGGGGTGCATCTTGCAATGAGCCATCTGAGAAATGTTCATTAAAACAGGAGTCTCACAAGGTATAGTGGATAGAATAGTTATAACTTTAAGGGTTCTGTCTGCAACATGGATTAAGATTTATGTTATCAACATCTTTGAGTAAAATTTCTTGCAAACATTCGCTGTCTCTAATTGTATTCCTAGTCAACAGACTTCTATCATGCTAAGGTGTGCTGTCTGATTATCAGAGTGCCAAAGTGACTTCAGTTCTCACGTCATATAGATCCAAATGAACTGGAGAGGTAGCTCAGTGGGAATACACTTGCCTAACATGAAACCCCAAGTTCAGTTCAACCCGTAGGAACACATTTGCAAACACACACACACACACAGACACACACACACAGGGGCTAGGTGGGGAGACAGGCAGACAGACAGACAGTGATTGCTAGAAGCATCTATGAAGGAATACAGAGTAGTGAAAACCAGTTGCAAGTTGAATGGCACTAAATATTCAGGCAGTCATTGCAATGGATGGAGGTGCCCTCCCTTCAAAACTTCAAGGCAACAACTGTATGCTATGTGGCTAGGAGATACTATCGTCTAGAGATGTTGAAAACTTCACTGTGAACTAAGGAGAGGTGATTATACTGTGACTTTTGAGGAACTACTCCTGGGGGACATTTGAGAGTTAAGTCCAGAGGCATGAACTTCCAGTCTGTATAAAGTTGCAGAAGAAATTAGTGAAAAGTTGACAGGTTGCAATCCCACCACAACAGAAAGGGCAGTTCAAAGATTTCTGGATTTCTTGTAGAAAACTCAAGTGTCTCCAGGAAGTCCTGTTTAGAATTCTTGACACAATGCCTCAGTATGGGTTGTTTGTTGTAGTTGTTAGCATGGAGGCAGATTTCCTTACACTCAAGTTAGGAGTCTCTTCTATGCTCTACTAACTTCCTTAGCAAAATGTAATTTTAGAAAACTAATGGCAGGGCTGTTTTCCAGACTCCAGGGAATAGCTCTGTTGTCCTCCACCTTCAGTCAGCCAGTAACGGGACACTAATATAATGTGACATAGGGATGAAATTGAATTGCTTGGCTTTCGCTTAATTTCAGTGCACTTTTTGTCCCCTGTGTTTTGGCTGTCCAGTTCCATGCCATTAGCTGGCTTTGTGAAAAGCCAAGTGGGAGAAGATCTATACATACAGAATGTCATGACACCAACCAAGAGAGACACTGCCCCCCAAGGACCTCATTAGAAATGTCTAGGGAGGTTCTTGTATTAGTTCCAAACTTCTTCCCATGTCTGGCAGTAGCCAATGCTAGTGTTAGGCAGAATCTTGTTTAGGAGAGAAATGATCAGAGTAGCTATCATAATGATATTAGCTCATACCTATTTGACACATGTAATGTACCAGACACTGTTCCAAGGTAATGTACTGACGCATTTTTTTCTCATATTGTGTCTATGAGGTTGATCCTGTTGTCATCATCTTGCTTTGAGGAACCACAGATTAACCAGGAAGTGGGAGAACTTTGCTTCAGATCCAGCCCATTGGCGGTGGAGCCCAGTGTCTCTCAGCGATTGGCTGTGTTGGCCCCTGCCCTATACCTACTGCTTATACAAGGGCTGAGACTGATTGAAAGAGGTTTTCCATTATTTATCCCATGCTTTGATGCTTTCAAATTTACTAATGGGCTTCAGATCAAATTAACATTTTTTAAAGGTTCTAAGGTGGGGTAGCTTCCTTTAAGAATACTCCTATTGGCATGCATTGTACATAGTTATAAGAAGTGGGCACTAAAAGGAGAGGAGGGAGGATGGAAAGAGATTTCAATGCAGGTGGTTAGTGACACAATCATATTTTTTTTCTTAGTTGAGTTTTCTAGAGAAGAAATGAAATAATGTGTCCATTCACTTGGTATCTGAAAATTTCTATTCAAATGCTACGTCCTATTGTATGATAATAGTGGGCCTTGTGGAAGCTTGGAGCCCAGTGTTCCCAGGGGCAGCATTGTGTGGGGCGTGACCAGAGGGCAAATGTGAGAAGTTGGGACGGGAAAGTTTGCTGAGATGGGTGTTACACATGGAGGTGGAAGGGAGACTGGCCAGCAGTTTTCTGAATTCTGTCTACATTTGGCAAGTGCTTCTCTAACCAGATCATTCTTGCTGCCTTTAGCCACCAAAGACAGCTAGAGCTAAGTGGCATTTGGCCCACTATTGTCTCAAGAGGGTACTTACACAGAACTCAGTCTACCCTGTGTTCTTCTGCCTGCCATCACAGACAGTGAAGCCTTCTAAGACTTCAGCTTCTTTCTGATCTGCTCAGTTTGGAGGCAAGGGATGGCCAGTTGCAATCTATGAAGATTACTGAGTTCAGCTTGGGAATTAAAAGATGACACCCCTTAATGTGGGGATAAGCCCTACATATGAAACAAGTATGGTTGCTGCTAATCATTTAATTCTTTCTACTTACATCTAGAACTCAGCGTTCTTTACCATGGTCACTATTTTTCTTCTTGTGTGGAGTTATCACTTATTTATAGACTGATATGCTTTTAAAATCACTATATTATTTCTCTAAGAAAAATGATATTCAATGCAAATTAACCTCAGTCTCTAATTTAGAGACAGCCACTTGAAACCACTTACTGAACTTTTATGCAAACGTTTCTTTTACATACACAAACTTCTAAGTCCCATGATTTACATACAGTAATTTAGACCACACACACACACACACACACACACACACACACACACACACACGAGTTTACTATGACTTTTAAAATCATACTTTAAGTTTTGTGGTAGACAGACTTCCCTTTAAATCAGTATAAATCTATGCATGCATTTATAATATCTGCCTCATGTTTTCTTGCTAGGATGTATCATAGTTCACTCAACAAACCTCATGTAAATTGTTTACTGATAAATAAAACACTCTTGGCACCAGGTAGAGATCAGTTGACCAGGCTAAACCATATTACAGTTTTGCTATCTTATGCCAGGATTCTTGACTCTTGATATTTATCCATAGCTTCATTGTCTCAGCTCCTCAGAGAGATATAACGTAGGAGAAAGATCAGAAGGATGAGTGTGGGGATCACATCTCTGCCTCTCCCTCTGCCCTATAGAGATATGTGGCCTTAAAATCACTTTATATTTTGAAACTGCCATGTTATCTATTGGTGAAGTGATGCTTGTAGACACATGATACTTAAGGTCTGGTCTACTGACTTATAGCTCTTCCCTCAAACTCTATCTCTGCTCTTCTTATCATCATTAATGTACTCATGTCAGATTTATTCTCTGGAGTTTCTACCATGACCAGCACAATGCCAGTAGATTGGCACTTAACAGTCATTCTTTGAGTGATGTGTCAGGCAGGCATCACGTCTGTGTCCAGGGCTTGTTCAGGACTCACCATCTGTGTGGTTTTGTATAAAGCAGTGAACCCCATAAATGTCTACCCATTATTCTTTTCGGGATTTGTATGCTTGTATGCTTATATTTGAAACACTTTAAATCCCTCTCTCCCTCTCTCTTATTAGCAATGTTTATTAGCATTTATTATTTTAAAAAGTAAGCATCAATCTTGTGTTTGAGAAAGTTCTTTCAACCAATGGAATTGAAGGATACTCATGGACCAAAAGGAATACATTGATCCACATTGGATGATAAATATTAAGGGTTTTTTTTCCCACTCAACTTAGGCCTAGGATGAAACCCCTTGAAGATGTGACTTAAGATTAAGGAATCTAGGAGGGTGAACAAGATGCTTCAGAGAATTTTATGCTTCATGTTTAATTAATGAATACATGTTCTGGGCCAGCTAGAATGAGTTCTTTCAGCATGAGCTATGTGCTTCATTTCAAGGCATCTTACATACAATTACAGCATGCCTTAATTGAGTGGTGCTTTCAGAGACTCCTCATTGGATGAGAAATCTCAGCCTTGGTATTGTATACTCTAGATGCCTAGTTTGTACTTTTAAGTACATTCTAAAAATTCTTTTGAGGTAAGATCATCATTAAACAGTTTTGACTATTATGAACATATTTACTAATATTCGGTAGCTCCAACATGTTTCTCGTTTCTCATTTCTTGTTTCTAATTGATTAGATACAACAAAATGCATGATAATTAAATTTTTGACAAATTAATAACCATTAATAACATAGGGATGTTTCCCCCAAAGCTTTTTGTTCCTAGTCCCGTGTTCTTTCCTAAATTTTGAGGACATTAAGATTTCTAGAGAGGGACTCTTCAGATACGTTTTGTGTTCCAGTTAACAGGATGTATTTCTGTTCTGCACATAAATCTTTTCTTTTAACTCACAGGAGATGCAGTCGCCCCTAGTCCCTTCTGGACCCTGATTCACAGTCCTCCCCCTTCTCTCTCTGACCACTTGGTTTTTGTCTTGCAGTCCCCAGTCTGTCCCAGATCGTCTGAGGATCCGAGTGAACAAAATCAGTTTACAAGACTATGAAGGACTCCACTACGACAAAGAGAAACTCCGGGAAGCTTGTAAGTTACCAGCACCTACAGGACTTCTTCATGGGCTGGGTCTCTTCCATCTTGCCTCCTCCTGGGTTTCTGATGGGTAGATTTATTAGACCTCATGCCTAAAAATGTGCTTGGAAAAGAGAAGGTGGAATTACAAGAACCATGGCAGCTTCTGGTGATGACATATGGACCACAGAAAATGGGAACAATGAAGAAAAACAGTGAAGTTAGGCCTTCTGATACATGCGCGCCTGGGTTAGGTACCTCTCTAGGCTCAACTTTATCTAAAGTTAGAAATGCAGAAGGTCAATGCAGAAATCTCTAGAAACTTTTGAGCTATTGCAAATCTCTTCTTGAAGTCTGCCTTATAAAATGCTTCCAGCATACTCATCAGGGTCATCAGCAGCGTTATCCAGGAAGGTGCATCAGCCCCTTCAGCTCCAATGCTGTTGTAGAATGTCACATCAATGACCATGACCCTAAAATGCTGAGGTGGTGATTCACTGATTATGAGGTAGTACTGTTTTTGAAGTTGTAATCTGAGTCAACCTATGAATTATCTGTCACCGTTTATCTTTCTCTGAGATCCTTGAATGTATCCTTAATTTATGTCACTGAGCAGTACTTATTGGACATTGCTTACATTCTGATCACTATTTTAGAGCAGTTTCTACACCGTGATTGATGTTTAGAGGTTATTGGGTAAAAGAGATAAGAAATTGCTATCGTGAATACTGCAGATATTGCTTCTGGGTTCCCTCTCAGTGGTGGGGACCAATAGTCAGATGCAGTAAGATGGGGTAAGGAATATCAATACTCAAGAAAAAAGACATGGGTGCCAATGGGAAGAAAGTACTTAGTAGAACTGAAGCTTCATCAAGCCAGTATTAACTGACCCACTGTGGACCTGACTGGAAGGACAGAAGGGAGCACTGGTTGAAATGGGGAAGTGGTGCTGAGGACAGAGGGCAGAAGAGCATTTCTGAGACAGTGCCTTCCAAAGTCTGTATTTATTGAATGGAAATCTTTAACGCATGGAGGGTCTTTCCATTGGGTGTAAGGGTTTCTAGGATCTGCAGGGTCCTTTTCCTGGTGGGTCCTTCACTAAGCCTTCTGGGAAGATCCGTGGGGAGTCTATCTCACCTCTCTCAGCTGCTATCTGCTTCAGGAAGCATCCTCTTCATCAGACATCAGTACCTTTAGTTTCTCTAAGTCTCCCGCTCTGTCCCTCACTCTCATTTTCTTCGGCAGGAAAGTGTGATCCAGAGGACAGAAGTGATTCCCTGGACTTCTGCATCTGTTCATTTTATTAAGAGACCATAATGGATTATGTTTTCTGATATAAATGAGGCGTAAGTGTCAGATTTACACTAAGTCCAGTTTAACCCACTGACAAATGAACGTCTCATGTATGATGAGGTATAACTTCAGCTGAGTTAAATAGAAACTAATCAGAAAGCAATGTTTCCTGCTTTCCTTTTTCATGATTCTAAACTAGTAACTTCCAATTATTAGAAACAATAAAAGATAATGCATCTTAAATAATGTTGTGTAGCCCACCAGCCACTCTGAAGAAGCTGGCTGGGAGTGGGGTACATTTGAAGAGCTTTGAGGCTTATCTGTAACTTCCAATTATCTGTTTTATCTTCTCCCTACCTCTATCTCTCTGTTGCTGCTGGAGGTAATTGTGATTTGAGCTTTTCCAGGAAGATGACATTTTCTGGCAAGTACTTTCTTGCCTCATCCTATCTGAAACGATAGAACTTCCATCTGAGCAAATGTCTTAAATTGGGAACAGTAACTTGGCATAAGCATAGGACAGATAAATGCAGCCATATCTTGGGAACCCAAGAGAATGAATAAACTCTTAAAGGGGAACAGAAAGGGAATATATTAAAGATCTGAGTTTGAAAAAATTGACTGGAAGGAGAAGTTGCTAAGTCAGTCATTCTACTTTCAATAAATGGTGGTGATGCTTTTGAGCTGTGGGTGTACAAGGAAGCTTGGCTTTTGAGGTTATAGATTTGCTGACCCTTGCTCTTTTGCCTGGGTTTACCTTGCAGCTGACTACAGAGCCATAGAATGGGTGACAGCGCTCAAACCGAATATGAATAAAAGCTAGTTCAAGTTCATATGTGATGTGCATGCCAAAATACACATTGTTTCAGAGGCTTCCATTAAATGAAGTTCCCGGAACACATCTGGGTAAAAGGTCCCCAGAAATGTACTATGACCTGGATTCCAGAATAACAAAGGAATTGAGTGCACCGGGGAGAGTCATCTATTGTCAACAAAGTCTCAGCTTGAGCAATGGTGTCATACTGGGTTTAAAACATGAGTGCCCTTTCTTGATGACATGACCAAGTGATTTACCCAGGCAGTATGGGCTGCTTGCCATCACTGTCTACTTGATTCTTGCTCTTGTGTATGGATGGTTGTTCATATTTGATTACAGTCTTGGATGTTTGCTCTCTAACAAAGCTAGTATACCTGCCTCTATCTGCAATTCAGGGCTCTCTGATAATCCAACATGGCAGTCCCTTTATTGTTCTGCTTATTTCATCAGACAAAAGTACATCTTTGCCATTTCAGACACTTCTCTCCTTTGTTAATCTCTACCTCTCCCTGTGACTTATCCCTAATATACCAACATAGGGTATATAAATGTTCAACAGTCTAACTCCCCCCCAGTACTTGTTGATAAATTTAATTACTTAAAACACAGTCTCTTCACTGGTTATGTGTCACGTCTGCTGCGCGGCCTGTGTCCGAGAACGTGCGGAGGGTGTCGGGTATTGAAAACACAGAGACTCGTTCAATGATATAAAGAAAACTTTAAACAGGCTCCAAAAAGGTTCAAGAAAAACTTCCTAAGAAAGGCTCCCACCAGAGAAGCTTCTGCTCTCTCCTCTACCCTGGCTGGTTCTGCTCTGCCACCAGAGGTGGATGTGTGTGGGTTTTTGAAGGTGCGGTTAGTCTCTGGACAAGGTCGAGGTCAGGGCGGTTTCTGTGGGAAGGCCTTTCCCAGGAACTTATTGTATCATTTTTAGTAAACATGTTTTTACTAAACATTGTCTTACAGCTGCCTACTCCCAGGCAGAAGGGGAAGTGGCCAGGAACTTATTGTATCGTTTTTAGTAAACATGTTTTTACTAAACATTGTCTTACAGCTGCCTACTCCCAGGCAGAAGGGGAAGTGGGTCTCTGCTCAAGGTCTGGTGTTCCCACAATTCACCCCTTATAATTTTCAAATGAGGCACTCCTGGCTTAGGTCAAGTAGGGTCACCCTCCCTTTCCCGTCTTTGGGGGACCTTGAACCCCTGTTTTAGGTGGGAGGGGTCTTCCCCACAGGTTGCCCGTCATCGGAGATACCCCAACCTTAAATCATCTGTAACCAACCTTCATGGCTATCGGGATTGCCATGGGCTAAGCTAAGCAATACTTGGTTACGGATCTCTTGTCTCTGGAACAAGGCACGTTTGAGCTTGGCATAAAGCCAGAATGCCTACCGCCACTGCCACCATTTCCAGGACCCCCATTGACATAGCGCCTCTCCATCACCATACCCATCAACAGATCTGGGCCATAACATTCTACCAGCCTTCATCTGTTACAAGGGTAACATGCACGTGATTTACATTCTGTTACAAGGGTAACCCGCATGTGATTTACATTTACAATTTGATAAAGTTTCCAATCGTTTCAAGATCTGCTCAGGAAAGCATTTAGAAAGTGCACTTGCACAGATACATTAGGTACAATCATTGATGTTACACATGTAGCATTACGAAAAATATGAACAATAGTTGTCGCATTAGGACAAGTTGCATTTCTCCAGAAAAATACACTGGCCTAGTCGTGATTCCAGAAATAGGAACCATCAAGTCTGATATTTCAAGTGACCATGTCCTGTTCAAATATTGAAAAGAGGCTTTTGCCACTCATCATAGTCCATACCAATGTCCAAATGCTTTAAATGGGTCCTTTTTTCTCTGTTGGCTTTACGATGAAAACTCATGGGTCCGGAAGGTTGATGCAGCAGGTCTGTTGAGAAATTGGAAATCTCGAACCGACTGTTTTCTCTCTTTCTTGGGCTCTAGATTCGATGACATCAAGAATCAGGAACACTGATTTAGGATATCTCACTCAAACTGGCTTAGGTAGGCTCCCATGGTCTCAGGTCCAGTTTTTCTCTGCTCCATGCATCTCACTAAATGGTCTGACAGTTGCTGAAGCTCTATTCCTTTCCTGCAAGAAAACACAAACATGCCCTCGACCCCAAATTAGGGTCTTCTCCACTGTCTAGTGTATGGATGTCTCCATTTGACCTGAGCAATGGTTGCTCAAGTTCCATCATGCCAGAATCTGTCTGAAGCTCACTGGCATTCACATTATAAAATTTTTAAATGAGGAGTGTATTATTTGATGAGTCATGTGGGGACTGGGGACATTATTCCCCTTTTTTATTTTCTAAAAAAATTTTCTTTTTGAACTGTTGAAGCTGGACCATAACAGTAGAAGGATTTGTCTACCCTCCTTGGTTAACTATCTAGGTAAATTGGGCTTACTAAATAACTTTTGAAAATTATTTGAAGTCTGTGAGCAGTCTTTCCCAATCTAACCTGTAGAACTCTCACTAGCTGACAAGGCCTCATTTGTATCTTAAATTTTTCTGTTAAAACATTAACAGACTGGCTGGATGTTCCTTTTGGCTATATTTAACACAATCTAGGTAGCTTCTTAACTATTTTTGAAGGGATTTAAGTATCCTTTTAATCATATAAGCAGTTCACACTCACACATTCGCAATCACATTTCATACATACCGGTGTGGCCACACCATACATTCAGAACATACATGCATCTTTTAGTCATCCTTTTTCCCTAGGTCATGATTAGTCTGTTGCAATGAAGCTTCCTTAATTGAAATCTATGTAAAAGAACAACTCCAGCCAATCCTTGAACTAAAAAGGTTAAAAAGTCCTATATGTTTTTATCATTCCTCCATTTGAGCTACAGTC